ATTTATGTAATGTTAGAACCTAGATTATTAATTATTAATATATCAATATTATTTGTCCAAACCTAATTACGAAGCATGATTCTTCACCAAGTAAAATTCCAAAACACCAGAAGCAGCCACGTAGGCTCAGCACATTCGGAAATTATATATAGGGAGGATAACTGTAGTTAGAAAATAAGTAGTTCTTATAAACATAATGCAAATCTCAGTAAGATTCTCAAAGGATTGTTCTTGCAACATTATCCAAACTGACAAACATGGAAAAAAGAATATACAACTAAATTAATAGACCAAAACCTTGCCTACACTCCCCACCCTCACCCAACACACAGGGAAAAAAGTTCGAATTTCACAATCGTCCTAATTTTTCGACGAGACGATTCTCGATTTCTAGTCGCATTTTCATCAGTAAAGTGTACTTGGACAGGAGCTGTTGGTCTCCAGTCACGGCAAGCTTGCAGTCGAGAGACGTGTTCTCCAGCTTATCCATGTACATATTCGAAATTGGAACAAAAATACCCTTTTTGTTGCACAACCACCCATGAGCAGCTCTCAATGCAGCTCCCATGGAAGCCGAGTCTGTAAAGAAGATATTCCATAAAGGGAAGAAAAATCGATGCTGAATAATCCAAAACATAAAATGAATAAAAAATGAAAATAAAAATTATACTCGCCTGCACTCTGGACTTTGTAGACATTGCACCCAAATATTGAAGCTACTGAGCCAAGAATACTATTGTTTGAGGATGCTCCTCCAGTAGCAATTATCCGTTTTGGAGAAGGCATTCCGAATCTCTCAGCATGAGCTCGCATGGAGAGGAACTGACCTTCTATTAATGCTCTGACCTGCAAAAATTTTTTAGTGCTGAAAATACTAGTTGTTTCTAACTAGAAAAAATCTTTTCTTATCAGTACGGTTTTATGTTGAGGAAATACGAAGAGGAACTATGAAATTATTAATTATTCATTTATTGACGAGTTACTTAAGGAGAATAAACGATGCTACTGGGATTAGATTAGTTTAGAATATTGAGGCTTGATCCATATGTTCAAATTGTGACGATGCGTTCATGCTAATTAAATTCTTGGGTGATGTTTGTTAATAATCGTAGCTTTCAAGTGAAATGAGTGCACACTGAGTGTAGGTGGTAATGAGTAAGAATGATCACAAAGCCTTGGCATTGAGAATGTAAACTTTCTGTAAAAGTTTAAACTTAACAATATGAGCATATGGAGCAACTTCTACTTGGTTCCAACTAGCATAACTTACTGTAACAAAGCTCAGAACAATTTAATTTCATGTAATGAAAATGATTTCTGGATGATTTTTATGTTCAAAAGTTAATATAATAAATTGCAATGCAGAAATTCAATATTTATTTCTGCTACATAAAGTCTTTATCCTTAATTATTATGCATTTGCAGAGGCTTTCTTTAAAGCATTTACGTAAGTAACAGTGAATACAAATAACAGTGATAGCAAATTCCTTAGGTTATTAGTGATAATACAAATGACAGTGATAACGAATTCGAGTCAATCTTCAAAAAGCAGGAAACAAAATGAAGACACGAGGAAAATAAATCAAGGAAAACAACAACTATAATCATCATTTCAAGCAACAGTGAGGATACCATAATAAGCAAAATCATAGACAAAGCTTTTGCTAGCAGTCAAGAATTTTATAATACAACAACAACAACATACCTAGTATATTCCCAACTGGTTGGGGTCTGGGGGTCAGTTTGATATATTTTTTTTCTACAAACTTCACTAATAGAAGAAGCACTACAATTTAATTGAGCCATTTTGATTTAGTCCATTGTTAGCACTATGCTAGAGAATTATCAACAATGACTATTCCAGCTCCATTTGCAATGGAGAATTTTATGGTAATAATAATAATAATAATAATAATAATAATAATAATAATAATAATAATAATAATAATTTCTTAATATAATTTTGGGTTTTTTCAACAAATAAACTATTTATTTGTTTTTATTTAACTATAGCTTTCAATTAATATCATTCAATGTTATAAAACAGTTTGATACATTTTCTACGGTTTATCATAAAATATACCCTCTTTTGTTAAAGTAGCAATAAAAAATATATTTCAAAATCACCAAAAAAGTTGAAAAGCATCATGTGCATGGCACGTGCATCTACCTGTTGGTATACTTAAATTGCAAAGTTCTAGTCACTAACCTCAGAGGCAGGATCGAATTCTGCAACTTCACGTTCTTTTACACCATCTAACGTGTCCCCATTGAAATTCTCAAGAATGTAACGGTGAATTCCAACTGCAACCATAATAGTTTCTTCATAAACCAGAATGTATGAATAAGTGGGCAGTGGCATCAATATATGGTTCTGTGAGGTCAGTCAGAGTATTATTAATTATTATGACATAGTGTGTAATTTTTTGATAAGTTGGATATGTCCATTAACCCTTCCAGAGTTTTATTTGACCACAAACTAGGATCAATTCAACGTGATAGCTTTAATATCCAGGAACTTCAAAAATAAAGATTATATTTGAAAGAATACATAACAACACACAAATGTTGAAGAAACTTCTTCGAATTCACAATGATAATTGTAAACAAGCTACTCTTGGCTTTTTGGTTTTTTTTTTTCCTAGTTACATAAAGCCTTTCAAAGTTCAAACACTTCACTGAAATTCGTTTTCATGCTTATTAGGGAGTAATTGGCAAAAATAAATCATTATGGAAGTAAAAGAGAGAGCTGGATATCTTTTAGTTAGACTAAAACTTGATGGTGCAATGTGTAATCAACCCACTTCTTGTTGCCTGTTGAAACTGTCTAGAAGATCTATGGACAATAATACAGTGAAACAAAAACCCATGTCATTGGAGATAAATTACAAAGTTCCTGTCAATCAGCCTAAATTTATTACCCCACACACTAAAACACACCGCATTTAGTTGAGTTTTTATTCCATTACTTGTACAAACGTTTGACAGATTAAACTAGACACAATCTTCTCAAAAGTTTATTACACTTTATGACTGTGATGTAATATTGTGACACCATACCACTTCGCTCGTTGGCCATGCAGCAAGTGTGTCAAACTGTTGCCTTTTCAAATCTCAAATCAAACATTATCCCAAGCAAATCTAGCATTTGCCGTATAGTCTACGATGGAAGGAGCATGATAGAACTACTGATGGATATTGTTGGACAGCAAAGAATCTAATCTTCTAATTTAGGGAATTACAGCAATAATTTTTATTTCTCAACAAGATAACAAGGATGCATACCTGGGAGGGGAGGCATAACTTCATGATCCTTGTAATAAAAGCCTATCTTTCCACCTGTAACAGAAAGCATTAGAAATAAAAACGCGCCACCAACATGACGACTAGATTCTATAGCAACAAACCAGAATTTAAGTGCTGACCGTTTAAGGGTTGTGTCTGTTGTAACAGTGCATTGAAAGTATCCCAAGATTTATCCGCACACCGATCACGTATTTCTATCAAAGTTGGAGAAATAAAGTTAACCAAGGTCTCTGTTACTTTTTATATGACTCGCTATTTGTTAGGTCATTTATCCAATACCTTCACGGGTAAGAGAACCATTCTTGTAGCACAGCATCACCATGTAACCTTTTGGGTCCACTGGGTTAGGGAAAACATGTCCTTCTAAGCATGGCTTGTGTTCAGCAGCAATCCCAAAAAGCTACAAATCAAAAGTAGGCTCTATCAAATTCAACAGAAATACATTTTTCAGGACAAACATGAGTAAGCAGAAAGGTAAAACTTCTCTTTCCCTTTTTCTGTTCTATGAAATCTCTTAGGGCTGCTTTTGGTGCACGAAGAATAGTCAACTTACAGTGTCACTAGTTCCAAGACTGATTGCCAGATCCCCAGGACTGTTGAGGGTTAAACCTATATAGGACAAATTGATCATGATTACGACTGTAAAAGGTAGTATTTGGCATCTCAAGTGTCTGGAGAAGTAATCCAAATCCATCAGAAGTCATTATGTACATGTGCCTGAGAGCTAATTAAGTTTACAAGTAGATACAAGGGAGTAATAACCTAGTGTTTTCATAAGCAGACTTCAGAATATACAAGCAGTACAAAACAAGTAAATGAAAAGCATTATTATCAGGAAGTCCTATGAAAGAGAGAAGGCAAGAATAAATTAAAAAAGTCACCTGCTAGGCTGTTAGGGTTATCACCCGACCATTGGATGATCAAACAACTTTTGTCAAAGAGATACCTGAAAAGCATTTTATGACAAGCCAATTAGATATTAGGCTCAACATCTTTTTTCGCTTCCGGATTGTCCAGGTCGATAATTACGTCTAGAAGCTTAAACAACAGGATCTTCATAGTACCAAAATCTGGTTAGAAAACTTTCTCATGTGTTCAAGTGGTCCTAATTAGCCTTCAGTATCATAAGAGATACATAATTTAGCCACCACTGACCTGTCCACAAAATAGGGAGCAATTAGACCAGCTACAGAATATGCAGGAGCTAGTTTCCCAAGCCTTTCCTCCAAGCCTGGTGCAGTTACCTAAAACAGACAAAAATTCAACATTGACATAAACCTCAAGTCTTTGAAAACAATTCCTAAAAAGAAGACAGATGAAACTATACAGTGTTTAAGTTGCTATCATGCAATACATCAACATCAACATCAACATACCCAGTATATTCCCAACAGGCAACAGGTTGGGGTCTGGGGGGTCAGTTGTACGCAGACCTTACCCTTATAATTATACAAGGAGGCTGTTTCCATAACGACCCAAGGTGCGTTGCGTCGTTTGATATATTTTTTTTCTAGCAACTTCACTAACAGAAGAAGCACTAGAATTTAATTGAGCCATTTTGATCTAGTCCATTATTTGCACTATGCCAGGAGAATTGTCAACAATGACTCTTCCAGCTCCATATGCAATGGACATAGCTATCATGCAATAAAGAAGCAAAATCTAAAACACATTCTGGAATAGGGTTACGAACCAAGTTTTTTTCAACTCGGTTCGTGGTTCCATTTTATTAGTCTGAATTAGTTAAAAAAAAAAAATTAATCCTAGTTCAAACAAGAATAATTATTTATTCAAATATTCGTATTAAGATTTCACCTTTTTAGGCAAGAAAAAAAAAATTCTAAGTGTAATCTTAACACGAATATTTGAATAAATAAGAATACATCCGAATGCCCTTAGCGGATTGTATTCAAGTTCATATTCAGATTTGAATATTAAACATATATCAAATCAAGCACTCTTCGCGTTATTCGAATCCAAATCGAATATTTAGATACTCAATTTGATTCGACCCGTTTGCAACCAGCGACCGACTCACAAACCTCTAGGAGCCTTTCTGACCAAGCTCTTTCATTTATGTCCATCAAATTCATCCCGGCTCCATCAGTATGGTCGATACACGCATAGCTCCCGATTAGGAGAGAAGCCATGAAAGAACTGACCAACGAGATTCTCTCCGTATCCCGATACGCCTCGGGCCTCGTCTCGAAAATTCTCCGGATCTGTGGACCCGTGAACCTCTCGTAGGCCCGCGAGCCGCTGACCCTCGACAGCTCTAAAGCCCCACCCACGGCTTGCTCGATTGCCTTGCATTGTTCGGCGGTGCTGCTGTCCATCCACACGGGCGAATCCTTAACGGAAAAAGCTTCCCCGAGTTGATCCACCAGTTTCCTTTTCGGATCCAATGACGAAAGTACCCTCCGACTCCCGGTTTTCCAGTACACGCTGCCGTGCTGCTGCCCGCTACCGGAAACGGCTGCAATTTTCCCGAAATCCAATCCCGAACGTTTCAACCTCTCGAGAATTAGGTCAAGTGCCTCGACCCACATTATGGTGGGGGAAACAATTCTGCCATTGACGAGAGGGTCTCGATACACGCCATCTTTGGTGTTGTAATGGGGTAGTCCCGAATCGAAATTAACAATCTCCTGAGAAACGATGTTCAGGTTTGCATCTAGGATAGTAGCCTTCAGTGACCTACGCAGAGTGAAACAAAGATGTAAACTTTTGGCTTGCTGTGGCAGAACTGCATAAAACTTGATCGCACGAATCACAATTATCGTCATTAATTTAATTTATTAGATTGAATAACTGAATTCCCACTGAGAAATCGGCCATTTTCGACGAAAATCGAAAGGACATTTTAACAAGATCGATACACGATACATTTTAACTTGATCTGCTTGAATGAGACACTTACTGCGTAGAGCTATCAAATCCCAGAAAATACGAGCCTTGTGGGAGAGAGTAATCCTCCATTGATGAGAGTAGTAGAAGAAGCTACGCCACCTGAGAAAAAGCTGAGTTCAATCGCTATTAAGGTACTATTGTTGATCAGCATGAATAGTGAACACACTGACTGAAGCTTTTTTCCATATACGTTTGGATTAACAGTCGCTGATAAGGGATAAGGATTGATTATTATTAGGAATTTCGGATGACTTGGGAAGTAAGATGTATTTCCTTGCAAATTGCAATATCTGGTAATCAACGGGTTAGCTAGATAGCGGGGATGCTTACATATAATTTTTTTTTTTTTTTTTTTT